GAGGGCAAGGTTGTGTTCCAGACATGGGAGTGGTCATTGTAGTCATATTGCTGTTTATCAAGGATAAGGATGAGGCTGTTAATATAATCTCTCTTTTGTAGCTGTATCTCATAGGTTAGAAGAGCTGTCTCAGTCCAAGAAGGCTCATACAGATGTCAGAAAACCAAGGTGAGAGAGAATACAAAGATACTTCATTCATTCAAGAAGAAGTTCCATGGGTAGCCAAATGTGGTTGTAATGACAAAAGTAACTTGGTATGCACATATATGTGAAGATCTTAAAACGATCAGTCAACTCTTGAGCCAACATTTTTAATGTACTGCAAAAGTATTTCAGGGCAAAATAAAGAAGGTGCAGGTAGTTTTCTTGTGCATCACCCCCAACTTCCATCTCTACCCCTGCAGTATCAAATAGTAATGTGATCTCTGTAATGTAGTCATGCTTTGACTGTATTTAAATAAAGATCTGGAATGTATGCTATCCTATCTGGTTTGCTAGTGGTGGAGCTGAACTGTTGAATTAGAGATTGCCTCTGGTTGTAATGATTTGGAGGTGGGGTTCACAGATTGAAGCCCTGGGATTTCCCAGCAGCATGGCTTATGGCATCATCTGTCATGCGTATCAGTCTTCTCTGTTTCTTCTGATGAAAGCCAGCAGAGACAAAAATACACCGGGTGCCCACCTCTAAAAATCTGAAAGGTTTCATTCACAAAATTAAAAACTTATTTTGGGATCCAAACTGCAAGAATATACAAATTTTAAAGGCCCATGAGAATATATATTTTTCCTTCCAGTGCCAGAAAAACATTGCCGTATGAGCATTTCACTAAGAAGGTTTCACCATAACTCAGGATCCAAGGACATGCAGAATGGGGTTTCTGGTGAATGGGGTGGCCATGTATCCTAAAGAACAGTTCCCCCACAGTTCCTACTGTTGTGAAGTGCAGTACATTTCTATTCAGTTGTTCAAAAAACCAACAAAATATGAAGTGGCTTGATGGCACGTAATGAAATTCAATGATTTAAAAACATCACTCTTGTATTCATTATTCAAAAAGCTAGGAAATGGCCCAATATTGCTGCACAATATTATGCTCAACTTGCCAGCAGATAAAAAGGATGTCAAATTTTATATAGCAAATGGCAGCCTGAATCCTGACAACACTCATGCCAGTAGTCAAGATGGTCTACAGGATACTCTCTTGTGCTCACTACCATTTCTTCTAGGCCTTTTCATACCTAAAGAACTTGTTGAAAAGCAGCCGTGACTATTGCTTTGTGTTTGGGTGAAGAAGTGGTAAATTGATGAAATAAGGAGTCAGGTTCTGGGATTTTTCCTTGCTTGGTGTGCCTTTGTGAATGGTAATGAGTACAAGAGAGTATCTTGTAGACTGTCTTGACTGCTGTCATTGGTGTCATCAATATTTGGGGTGCCCTTTGCTATGTAAAGTTTGGCATTCTTTTCCTGCTGGCAATGCAGACATGATATTGTACAGGAATATTGTGCCATTTCCTGGTGTTTTGAATCACTGGTACAGAAGTACAGTATCCCACATTCATAAATTGGAAGATTTTTTAAAAAAGAATTGGATTTAGAGGTTTAAGTACCGTATTTGCAAGCGACTTTTTTGCCCTGAAAAACATGCCTCCAAGTGGGGGGGGCGTCTTATACGCCGGGTGCATTTCAAAATTCAAAAGCAACACACACGTACTCACATACACACACAGATACACACACCCACACACTCACACAAACACTCGCACCCCTTAACCTCTCAGGCAAACTAATGTTACCTTGCTCACTCTGTAGGACACAGAAAAAACCCTCCTATCTTCTGATTTCCAAACCCTTGCTTTACAAACGTGTTACATGCATGTTTTCTAAAATATGTCCCTTCGTCTTCTGAAATAACAAAGAAGGGGCTAAGAATTAGCAAAGATTGACACTGGAACCCAAAGTCAAAATAATTTATACTATGTAAAAAGATGGACAGTAAAGAAAGACAGAAATCAGTTCATGTGAAATGTGGTGTTGGAGGTGAGCCGTACAGATACTACAGACTACCAGAAAGGTAAATAAATAGGTGCTCACTCTGGTAGCCTGCGGTATCTGTAAGGCTCACCTCCAACACCACATTTCACATGAACTGTCCATCTTTTTACATAGTATGAATAATTTTGACTTTGGGTTCCAGGATCAAAATTTTAGATATTGTCTATTCTGGCTTATGGTGATGTTTTCCGGTTTTTCCCTGAGGAGACTATTTGATATCAGAAATCCTAAAACATGCTCTGGAGAGGACACTCCTCGATTCAGAGCATGTTACCATAGTCTCTCGAGACTGAAGGATGCCTATGCTACCCCGCCTATCTGGACCGATGAAGATACATGGCAAAATGTCCCCTTCTTGGAGGACTGTTACTCTATAAAGTTCTTTAAACGAAAACTGGGTTTTTAAAAGTCTTTTTAAAGAAAACCTGTTTCTTCAGTCTGTTTCTGTGACCTTTCTAAATAGCTCCCTGTTCCACCTATGAATGTACACAATGTTTTATTTCACAAAGCTCTTGATGGCTAGTCTGTACCACATACGCTCAGCCTTATAACAAAGTAGCTATTATTCCCTTTTGAAAGGCATTTTTTTGAGGATCTATATTTTAGCCCCTGCAAACCAGATTCTGTCCAAATTTTAAAAAAGTGTTTTTGAGGATCTATATTTCAGCCCCTGCAAACCAGATTCTTTCCAAATTAAAAAAAAAAGTAGATGGAGCCAACCATTGTCTTTCACAATAAGCAAGATTGGTCTTTTTAATTTATATGAGCTGTTTTAAAACTGAGGATGTTTAGAGTTGCTTATTTCTGAGTGCAGAGGCCATTTTACTTTTTTAAAATCATAACCTGAAAATCTTTTGCCCAAACTTTTCCAAATTTGGCACAGAGTAAAAGATACATTTAGTGCTGGCTGAATGACCCAGTGTAACGGATGTATACATTGCAGCTGTCTATTAGCCTGTGCAACTTTTATTCATACAATGCTTGTGTGTGTGTTTGCTTAAATAACCTTTTTTTGGTTGCTATTTCTGCTTCATTGATAAATCAGATCCACTCCTGAATGGTCTGTGGCAGTCTCAGCTATGAGAGCAACGGCATCTCCTAGATTGAAGGAACTGGCACAGCCCCGACCTTACCCAGCTGGTTGGAAGTTCCATCGCTCCCCTTATTCTGTGGTATTTACATTCTTTGCCTGTCTGCCTCCTTTTGGTCTCTGCAATCCAGGCCCTCTGTCTTTTTCATCCCTGCTCCCTAAAAGAGATGTACATTGTTAATTTTAATATATAAATGTGTATCAGACTTTTCCTCCAATGAGCTAAAGGTAGGATACATTTTCTGGCCACTTCATCCTAAGACAACCCTGTAGAGAAGGTCAGGCTGAAAGTCACTGACTTAAACCAAGGTCACCCCATGAATTTCATGACTCAATTGGAACTTTTGTGTCCCAATCTAACACACTAAATGCCACCCCATATTGAATTTAAGATCTTTTACTGTAGAATTAGGGATTAATTTAAGATGAATTGTGTAAAAACCATTCTCTGCAGCACCTTTATGGCAGCTAGTCATATCCTGTGGAAATGATATATATTTGCGTTGTCCTCGTGTCTCCCAGTTCACTTGGGAGGTTGGATTGGTATATTGGGATGGATCCTGATTATGTCCATGGTGATCTGGGTTCTGCCTGATCTCATTTGTACTCTGGATCTGAAATAATTTTTCAGTTCAAACTACAAGGATCTCATAGACTTGCATTGGAAAATCAAAGCCACTCTTTTTGTGTTCTTGTACATGAGATTATAATACTGTAAATTATAGAACCTAAAGGAGGTGATAAATATGCCAAATTTCAAACATCTGGTTCCAAATATCACATTTAAAGCTTGATCCCTGCAGGCACTGTCAAATTCTGGCTTCAGATTGCATGTTACAACTCCTATAGAGCAAAGCCCATTTTCCCACCTTCTCTTCCAATAACTCATTCAAATGATCTTTCCACACAGTCTGGCTTTGCTACCCTCATTTTAGATGTTCAAATCATGGAATCAATCTGAACAAAAGCTGCGATCAGACAGGCATTTAGCCCACTGTTTAGTCAGCTATAGGAATGGGTTGGTTCTCTCCTTTTTCTGGTGATCATATGACATAATCATTGGAGCGAACCAAATTGACCACAGAGGGTTCCTATCTGCATCTTTCTGGGCCCCTCTCCAGGGCTTCTACTTTTTTAGTGCAGGTAGGATTGCTCCATTTTGGTTTGTTTTCAACATGTGCGGTTGCTGGAAATGAACTAAAATGAGGCTAGCAGCTATCAAGTTGTCTGTCACTATCAATTTGTCATAAAAAGATAGCCACTTCAGGATACTGGGAAATTATAAACACTTGCAGACATGCAGGGAGGTGAAATTTGTTTTAGACTGTAATAGGGCATTGATGAAGTGGGAGGAGACTTGTCTTAAACTTGCCCACAGACAAATCCATGGCGAAAACCTTTAAGATAAGTCATGAAAAGAAAAGGGAAAAAAATCCCCTCATTGCCTCCTCCTGTATCTCCCGTGTCCTAATCTAACACTCCCCTCTACCCTTCCATGGAGCAGAGGAAGTGTTTAATTTGCCACCACCTATCTGGTCGGTGAGGACCACTTACGTCATATCCCGATATAGCAAATTGACAGCAGAAAAAAATTGCCAATATCCTGAAGTGGCTGTCTTCTTACATCATATACCGATATAACAAATTGACAGCAGAGAAAAACGGAAAAAAGATGATTGCTTGAGGTGTGTATTCCATTTGGATGCAAGGATCTGGTGACCCTGTTCAATCCAGCCCTTTCCAGTTGAGTCCATGTAGACATCCCCAGACTTTGTTTTGCTCAGAACTGGATCTACTTATTCTGCTTCTTTCTTGATCTTAGTCAAAATGGTCTGGATCAGGTTCATTGATGAGGTATTTGATTGAAGCCAGGGCACAACTGTTATTTTTAAATGTATATTGTATGCTTGCTTGCTTGCTTATTGCAGAGAGATGGGATATACACTAGAAATAAAATGAAAAGCACAGTTTGCTGAGCCTTTCCAAGGAATATTTGGTTGGTTATCTGAATCTCCATGCCACCTTGCATCTTGCTTTTTGGTTGCATCACTTTTGGTGCATAGACATAGAGAGGCACCTCACAATGCACAGAACAGAACAACATCTTATCTTGCTTTCAGGTGACTAAAGCAGCACTGTCAGCTTTACCTTCTGAACGGATTACTGTTCTTGCTAAGCCAAGAGTAAGAACAGATGCAAACAGTAAGTTATCTGTTTTTGACCTTCACATTACAGCTGACATAGGTTTGTTCTTCAAACCACTCCCGCTGCAGCAGATTTAGGAAGGTGCTCAATACTTTTAAGATTGATAGTGCTAAGTTATGTTGTTCCTGAATCTATCTCTTGTAGGACTGAAGACTTCTGAAGGGGCTGGAGAATTTAGGGAAGAGATTTGGATGCAACACAACATCCTTGTTTGGAACCTCTGCATCCAAACACAGCATAGTTAACAGTGGCATCCAGACTCCAATAGAAGAGGGATGAGAAGGAGAAAAGTGTCCCTCCAGATCACTGACATATAGAGGAATATATATGTTCTCTTTCCATTCCAAACTTTCTCCAAAAGCTCAATGAAAAGTCACTATAACCATTTACCAATACAAAACTGTGAAATAGCTTAGACTGCGAATTAATGATGGGAACTTCTATATGTATCTCTTGCTCTTCTAATTTCTGCCCCATTGGAATTCTGTTATCTGTGGTAATTGATCAGGAATAACAGTGATTCTTTTCCAAACTTCAGTCTCCTTCCCCTTCACCATGAGCTCCAGTCTTGGAGAAAGAGATCTAATCTCTGAACTTCTCTGCCATGGGGAGAGAGATCTGTGCTCCTCTCCTATCTGATATTGCAGGAGGGGAAGAGAGATGGGGTGTAGGGTATTGGGACTAATGATGGAGTGGCAAAACAGGGAAAGCTCCGAATCTGCAGTCTACAGACTCTGTTGAGGACTGAATTACTTAGAAGGTAATTCAGATCCTGCTCTTAATGACCTATAATTCAAATTCTGGTAGATGACTTGATAGTCCCCTGAATGTTTGAAAATCTAATACTTAGTTTAGTCTTCTTTTATGGAACACTTGCCACTATTAAATTTATCTCCAATCCCAAGTTGCTTTCATTTTATTTTCTTGCAGCGGTGCACACAAAATAATTCAAGGAGCTGTTGTTGGATTTCAGAAGTTTTGTGAACACTTGAAGCCCTGGACCTACATCTCTGATTATGGCAATTCTTGCTGAGTTTCGAAGGCTGATGTCATCTATGCTCGCAGTCCACACATTCTTGAAATTAGCCATGCAGTTGTTTGAGTTATATGGTCATTGCACATCCTTGACTTTGGCCAGTTTAGGGACGTGATTAAAGGATCCTGCACACATCATATGGCTGTGGCTGTGATGTTTCATAAGTTTGAAATACCTCCCAATTAGTCTACCATTTGCTTGCATGAACCTTTGGTCATCCAAAGACATAGGTTTTATCACAGCTTTGAGGTGCTCCTCTGTCTTGCAAGAAAGCATGTGTTAACTTTGATTTAATCAAGATACATCGAGGCAAGTCTGAGTTCCAACACCAGCTGTGATCCTAATTTATGAATGGTGTAGCGATCACCCTGCTTTGGGTCAGGTAGAAGATTATTTGCATGTACCAATGAGAGCAGTTGGGAGGCGGAGCCAGAGAAACTAGAAGGGAGGGGTGAGTGAGAGTCTAGTCAATTCAGTCAGAGACAGAGTTTGGGGGTTTGAGGCAGAGAGAGTGTTTAAGGAGTGATTAGTCAGAGTGTGACCTGTATTAATTAAGATAGAAGAGGTTAAAGTAAAATACTGAAGCTTTGTGTAACTTTAGGAATGTGCTTAAGAACTATTCCTAAAATAACTTGTAATCAATAAACCTGTTTCTGTTTAAAAGTTCAGTACTGAATGGACCTCAGTCTTTCATAGGAAATACAGGTTGATAAAGAGATCAACTGGTGGCAGAATGTTAAAGGGCGTGTTGGGATACTCGTGTGAGCTCTTTGTTTGGTGAAACAAAGAGGGGCCACGGGGTAAACGCCACAAATGGACTTTGTGAGCTTACTGTGATGAAACTGAAGGTACAAAATAAAATATTCATTCAGGTTTCCCTTCATTGACTCCAATTTCTCCTGAAGCTAGTTCCTCATATTCTATGTGACCTCAGGTTTTATTTCCCACCATCTCTTAGATTCCTCCCTGTCATCATCCTTTCCTCAATGGAGTGTCCCAAAGAAAGGTCTCAGGCCAATCCATATTGACTATGCAGGCTAAAAGTAGTAGTTTATTTATTCCTTAGTTATTTTTTTCTATCCTGCCTTTGTTCCAGTGAGCTGAAAATAGCATATGTGGCTCTCCTTCTCCCCGCTTGTGAACTAGGCCAGGATGAGACAGTATGACTGCCTCAAAGCCACCCAGTCATGGCTAATTGGGGATTTGAGCCCTGGTCTTTTGCATCCTAGTTGAGCATTCTAAAAAAAAAATCTAGAACGATGCAATTACTTACCCCTGATTGACTTGGAAGGTTGTATGTTAATCCCACAACATGGCTTTGGGATAAATAGTGTCCTGAGTTAAGAGTGTCTTCGATGACCTTCCATAGTCAGTTTCGCAGGGTGATCTGGAGAATTTATGAAGTCTGTCCTGGTCTGTCACTCTATCCACTACACCACACTGGGTACCTGATTCAGAATATCTTCTCCAAATTCTAAATCCTCTCTGGTACAGCATTAACTTCAAGTTTAAATTAATTCCCCGCCACCCCACAGTGATCATAGGCATCAGTCATAGGAAATATTTTGGAGCCTTTAGAACAAGATGGCTTCCAAGTTTTGAAAGTCCATATGGTTGCAACCATCTGAGACACCCTCATGTTCTTTACTGTTGTGAGTAATCAAGGTTTAAATTGGTTTGGAAGGGACTGCCAAGCTGAGCAATGAACAAATATCTCTTCTTCCAGTTATCCCTTCCATCCAAAATGAAGAGCACCGATAATGAACATGTATAGAGGCAAAGCAATAGCAATGGAAAATTGGGGGTGGGGGAGAAGAAACAGTGATAAATAGAAATAATTTGCAGCAGTGATAAAAAGCCTGGAATAAATTTATTTGCCTTAGAGACTCAAGACTTATTCATTTGTTTACTTCCAAGCCACCATTACATCCAACTTAAAGATCAGCTTTGAGCAGAAAGAGGATTTAAATTAAGAATGAAATAATAAGACAATTGGCCAAATAAGCCTGAATGCATTGTGTTAGGTTTAATAAGTCACAGATAAATCTGGAATGCCTTCCACGTTTATTGCAAACAAAAGATTAATTTTATCATACTGTATTCTAAAAGCTGGATGATGATTGTTAGCGTAGTAATTCTTGTCTGGCAATAATGGCCCTAATAGATATGATGACAGTATCACATCAATCAATCTCTTGTCTCCTTAAATTTGTTCAAATGGTAGCTTTCTGGGCAATGTGTGAGAGGGGAGGGGGTCCAAATTCGAATCCCAGCAGGGAAGATGGGGAATTTTACATTACATCTCTCTGTACATGTATGTGTGATTTTCATTTCGTTTAGTCGTTTAGTCGTGTCCGACTCTGTGACCCCATGGACCAGAGCACGCCAGGCCCTCCTGTCTTCCACTGCCTCCCGGAGTTATGTCAGATTCATGTTGGTTGCTTTGGTGACACTGTCCAACCATCTCATCCTCTGTCGTCCCCTTCTCCTCTTGCCGTCACACTTTCCCAACATTAATGTCTTTTCCAGGGAGTCCTCTCTTCTCATGAGATGGCCAAAGTATTGGAGCCTCAGCTTCAGGATCTGTCCTTCCAGTGAGCACTCAGGGTTGATTTCCTTTAGAATTGATAGGTTTGTTCTCCTTGCAGTCCAGGGGACTCTCAAGAATCTCCTCCAACACCAGAACTCAAAAGCATCAATTCTTCGGTGGTCAGCTTTCTTTATGGTCCAGCTCTCACTTCCATACATCACTACAGGAAAAACCATAGCTTTGACTATTCGGACTTTTGTTGGCAAGGTGATATCTCTGCTTTTTAAGATGCTGTCAAGGTTTGTCATCGCTTTCATCCCAAGAAGCAGGCGTCTTTTAATTTCGTGGCTGCTGTCTCCATC